GTCGGTAAATTAGGCATCCGAATGTTACAATGGCGGGTTCCAAGAGCTAACAACTCGATCCTACGGGCACACATTATAAATAAATACACACACACTTAAAAAATGAAGTGGTAAACGTAAATACTCATCCGCATGTATTCAAAAACACGATTTTCTCTGAATGTTCTTTATTTCCCTTCTCCAAGGCTATGGACAATTACCCGAGGTATCCTATATATATATATATATATATATATATATATATATATATATATATATATATATATATATATATATATATATATATATATATATATATACTGTAACTGTAAACTCTTGACTCTGAAGGATTTGAACACAAGGGCCGTGATAAGGGTTCGAACCTAGTCCGAGAGGATCCCAGACGCTGCCTTAATCCTGATTTGAACACTTCTCTTTCGCACACCGTCCACCCAACTCGTAGCCATGTCTCTGCGTCTCTTTATCAAGTGAACCCTCAGTTCTATCCATGTTCCTTATGCTAAGAAACCCTACACGTAGTTTATAGTCCACCCCAACACATTTGGGCCCCCCTCCGTCATTTAGGTCCCGTTGACGCTGCCCCTCCCCGATCCCTTCCAATAAGTCGTGTAGGGCATGGCCTACACACACTTCGGGTCGGGGATCGAGAGCTGGTTCCGATATGTCAAGATTGTGGACACAATAAACTTATGCCGGAGGGTGAGAAGTAGAGGTGATATTCGCAGGAAAGAGGGAGGAGGGGTGAAGAAGAGGGGGGCTCAGGATCGTGGGGGGCAATTGAGAGGTGTGGGCGAGTAGATAGCTGGGAGGGCTGGTTTGAGGGTCGTGGGGAGTACTTGAGGTGTGTGGGAGGCGTCAAAGTGTGTAGGGGTTGCGGAACGCGTTGAAGATTAATATGAAGGTCGTGGGGGTGCGCGAGCGAGAAGTGCCAGAGGTTGTTGGGGTGTTGAGAAGGTTAAAGTGGGGTCGTGAGAACTTTGACAAATTTTGGGAGGGTGTGGTGAGTGTTTGTGTGCGCTCGTAAGGGAGGGGGCCCGAGACGTGGTGCTGGCTCATTGGAGTACGGCTAAGACAATCTTCCGCGCACCAAAGTAACGAGAGAATGACTGGCATAGGGTGGAACGAGGACTGAAATGGGGGAGGTGTCACTCAGCATGAGAGGGGGAAAAGAGGTGTTACAGAGTTTTCATTAAAGAGTATGAAGAGCTCGAGTAGTGAGGAGTAGAGCTATCACTGTGCAGTATGACTGAAAAAGATAGTGCTTAGAAGGGTGACCACTGTGGAGAAGGAGGAGTTTGAGTACCGTGGAGAAGAGTGACCACTGTAGAGGAAGAGACCATCGAGTACCTTAGAGCAAGATGACCACTGTGTAGGAGATTGAGTACCGTGACCACTGAAAAGCAAGAACTAAAAGAGTAGACGGTAGATAGGGGGGTAGAAATAGCCTAAGCTACTCTATCCCTTTGAGATGTATTTCTTTCTTGTCTCAATAAACATACTTGAACTTGAACTTGAGTAGACGGTTGTAGAGCGGACGAACATGAAGTTGGCTGACCACTTGGGTTACCACTCTACCAAGGCGATAACGATGCGACAATATTTTTTTTAAACAAAAAAAAACTAGGATTATAAAGAGCATGGAGCCTCGACCACACTTGGAGCATAAAAGCCGTAAAAACAGTCACAGATTAGCGCTGACTTCATTCAGTAAGGCTGTCGCTATATTGTCTAACACTTAAACAAATGAAGTGTGAGGCCAGCAGGATGGTTAACAAAAAAAAAGAGAGAGAATGAAGAGCAACGCCCAGATTAAGAAATGAAGACGTTTAAACCAGTAAGACCGATTCAAGGTGAGGCAGGAGTGGTAAAAGTTAACAGCCTAGCCGGCTCCCGGGAAGACGAACGTGTGTGAGAGCTGGAGTTAGGGTTCCCTTCACCCGGAGGTCAATTCTGGGTTGGGTAAGTCAATTTGGGTGTGAGGAGCGACATAACACCAGCAGCTGGGTGGATAATGTTAGGCTTCGAGGGTGTAAATTAATAACTAAGTACCGACCAGGGTAATGCGATCCCTTGAACACACAACGGCAACACAATCTATTGCAAATAATCCGAGGCTAAAAATCTAATAGACTTGGAAGAATAAAGTTTGCTGGAATCGCTCATTTTTTGGTAAGTGAGGATTTGTACCTAAATAGATAATTTTGCTATTTAAATAACGTAAATTAACATAAACGACAATAACATGCGTGAATGTGCTTGTTAAAAAGAAGTAAGCAATTATGAAAAAGAAGGCATCAAGCCGATCGCTATAAAGAAGTCCTCACATTTTGAAAAGAATGATTCACCCTATTGTTTTAATTACGCAAAACTGCTCAATCATCTCAGTGGTCAGGAAATAGCCTCAGAACAACAAAATGCCCTCAACTATTTATTCTACCAGTTATTTCTTTTACGACGATTTAAAGTGTGCATGTTAAATGCAGTCGGACACAAACTGCAAATTAGTGGCTGCCTGTTACTAAGTACCGGAAAAATACATACGGGAAAAAAAATTACAGCCCCACACCGGGCATCCGCTATTACCAGTTAACCCCATTATTAGGCTAACATCTCTGGCCGTAACATATATTGATCCGAATTAAACCCCCCCGTTAATAATACCTACATACGCCATAGTCGACTGAAATTGACCCATCTGAAAAAAAAACTAATAACTTCTATCCCAATGACAGTCTTTAAATTTCGATAGTTGCATTTATGGGAATAAAGATGATGTTAATTAGCTATGAGCCTAGTGTAATTACTGGAAAATATATAATTTTTTTTGGAACCCGACACTATTGGTTTGCTTATTTAAATGTAACATTTTAAATATATATTTGCTTAAATATCTTAATTTAAGACGAGACCTAATGACAATGATTCGGTAGCCTAGGCTATGCAACTTCCTTTTCCTGTGAGTACTTTTTAAAAGACTGAAGACTTCAGAATCATTGTTGGCTTCACAGACCTCACACCAGGATGTCACCCGCCCCACACACCATACATCAAGATGCCACCTACCCCTCCCCCCTACCCACAGACCATACAGAAAGATGTCACCCACTCACTGACCACACGCCAGGAAGCCATCCACCCACATACCTTACATTAGATGTCACCCATTCACAGACTATACACCATGATGTCACCCACCCACAAACCTTTTACATCACGATGTCATATATTAACAGATCTTACACCAAGATATCATCCCACCCACAGACCATACACAAGAATGCCAGCCTCCCAAAGACCATTCTACAAGATTGTAAGGCCACCTCACAGACCACTACACATGATGCCACCACCCCACAGATCACCAAGCACAATTCCAATCCCCCATAGATCATCCCACATCCGTACACCATTTCAGGGGTTGTTAACCCATACAGGACCATCCCAAATACTTCCATCCCCAACGACAATCCCACAGGATGCCACACCCGAAGACAATCCCCACAGGATGCCACGTCCACACCCCACTAACACCCCTTCATTGCTAGGTTAACAGGGGTCACCGTTTAGCTATTAAAAAAATACCTCTGCAAATGTCATTTCCTTCAGAATATATTACAGAATATGATAATTCGTTTTTCTATATGCCAACTACACCGCAAACTGGAAATCTCTTTTAAGCTAATACAGTATATATATATATATATATATATATATATATATATTATATATATATATATATATATATATATATATATATATATATTATATATATTAAAATGACCTATATTAATATAATACAGTATATTAATTGATGTATTACGGCACAATGGCACAAGTATTAAGGTATTTAATCTCTGTAACACAATGGCACAGGTATTAAGGTATTGAATCTCTGCAACAAGTCCCTTGAACTTCACTCAAGACATAACTTAAGCATTGTTAAACGTCTTGAGGAGTGTCGCGCTGCCAGGGACGTCACCTGGCGTTTGGCAGACATGATGACTGACCACAAAGTCAACCAGGAAAAACTGAAATTGTTCCAGCGCTCAAATTATAAATGCACAAATCGTAAAGAACCTACAAATATTCCCCCCCCAAAAAATATTTCATTTCGGCTCAAAAACTTTAATTATTAAAACGTAAAAGTCGTTCATGGTGAACCTCGTCGGCAATTATTGAAGTATGAACCATATTTGTGCTTCCCTTTCAACTAATCTTAAGTGGCATTTATCTTTTTAATCTTGGCAGGGGTAATGAGTTGCCAAGACACAGCACAACCTCAAGCCCCTTGAGGTTGTGCTGTGTCTCCTTCTGATGTCTCCTTCTGCACCGTGTACCAGTACAGTATATCCTAAGTAAGTCAGTTGTCATGCTGGCTAAGAGTCCATGGACTTTAAATAATTACAAATGCTTTTCTGAACTTGATGAATATTGATGTTTTTTTTAATTTTTTCTAAGTATGTCTCGTATATAATTATAGTATTTACGTCATTAAAACGTTTCTAGTTATCGTAATCAGTTTATAATTATTCACAATTTGTTCCTGATACAATACCATTTATATTCAGTATTTGCCTGATACAGTAGCATTTGTGCACTGTATGTCAGCACATAAGAAAACTTAGAGAATGTTCATAACATCCAAAAATACTCTCAAACACCCACGACGATCCAAGATAACTCTTAACAGGGGAAACAATAACAGTCACAACTCAGGAACAATAACAGTTAACACGTTTAACAGCAACCATTTCCAACACAATTATGTCTCCAGATAACCTCAAGGGTCTCAGAGCCTCGCCACGCGGTACTGACCTCAGACCCAAGACATCGCTCCCCAAGACGACCCAACCACCACCGTCTTGGCCTCGACAGGCCAAACACTTCACTTACGAGGAACTGAGAATGAGGGGAGAAGGAATAATGAGGCACTAAGGTGTGAGGAAGTACAGGCCGACGCCAAAGGGCGCGTGCCCGTCCCGTAGATTGGATCCGCCTACCTGTCAGCTGGCTACTGTCCACGTTACGGGGCCACATAATGAGAGCCATCTTCACTGTGCTGACCCTCCTCTGCTCTCCGTTGACCTCGCTGACGTCATAACATCAGCACCCCAACACTCAGGTCACTGGGGCGGCGCCCTTCGTCTGCTATGATTGACACAATGCACCACCAACCACCCTCCTCCGGCACCGAACACTCTCTGGGGGGAGCACCAGCGACTTGTCGTGGCCGCAACGATATTGTTAGTCGTGACTCTGGAGCATGCGAGCACTTCGTTATAGCACTGACAGCGTGTGAGAGCACCGGGTGTGTTTTTTGCGTGTGTGTGTGTGTGCGTGCGTGCTTTCTGGAGCTTTTAAAGTCTACACGCAGCGTCCACAAGGGATGGCGTCTCCCTAAGAACTGGCGGCTGAGGCCCGGCCGCCCGCAGCTCCCGGCCGACTCCGCCCACCGCCACAGGGCTCCGCCCACCCCGCACGTCTTCACCAATCATCGCTCCGCGTGCGGCTCCGCCCACAAATTACAGCGGACCTGATTATCATTTTAAAGAGTTGTGATAGTGGGCGGCGGGTGCATATTCAGAGCCCGGCCGGCACCCGCGGCGGACGTGCGCACCTCGCGCTCCTCCACCCGCATACACACTCACACACCCACACATTATCTACCATTGTAGTAGCGCTAATAATGCCAACTCTACCAACGGTTGACGGTAGGAAAGTGTTTTAAAAACCAGTGCCGTTATTACATCTTCAGGCCACCGTGTGTGTGTGTGTGTGTATTATGGACCACAGCGCGGGCCATACATCACAGCCTAGTGCCACCACAGTGGTACCCTATTATCACCATTGGGTAATGGGGGTACCCAATGCCAACATAGGGTACCACACGGCCATACACCATACACAGGGTGTAATGACACCACATATTAATGTCACTATACAACAAAACCATACACTATAACAAACTGGATCATACACCACACTGTTCTTACACTGACGTCACCGCCACCATACATTAGGCCTACCATACAAAATAATACCACGCCCTATCTGGCATCAAAGTATCAGTTCCACAATGTAATAGTTATACAAACAAACACACACACACGCACACTACTACACATACACACACACACACGCACACTACTACACATACACACACACGGATGGAATGCATTAGGCAGTGATGTGGTGGAGGCTGACTCCATACACAGTTTCAAATGTAGATATGATAGAGCCCAGTAGGCTCAGGAATCTGTACACCAGTTGATTGACAGTTGAGAGGCGGGACCAAAGAGCCAAAGCTCAACCCCCCGCAAGCACAAATAGGTGAGTACACACACACACACACACACACACACACACACACACACACACACACACACACACACACACACACACACACACACACACTTCCACACACAGGGCGGGTACCACACGTTGGGCCGTGGTTGAATGAACAGCGCTTGGGACTCGTAATCCCAGGGCCCGGGTTCGATTCCCGGCGCCGACAGAGACAAATAGGCACAGAGTTTCTTTCACCCTGATGGCCCTGTTACCTAGCAGTAAATAGGTACCTGGGAGTTAGACAGCTGTTACGGAGCTGCTTCCTGAGGGAGTGTGTGGGTGTGAAAAAAATAGTAGTTAGTAACAGTTGATTGATTGACAGTTGAGAGGCGGGCCGAAAGAACAGAGCTCAACCCCCGCAAGCACAACTAGGTGAATCACCATCAGCAGCAGAGGTCCACGGGATCATCAGAACTCATCCTATTCATGATTTGTGTGAATGATATTCAGGAAAGAAGAGTTTCCCTATTCATCTTGTACCATGACACATAATGATACACACGGGTGACACATGATGATACACATGCGGGTGACACATGAGGATACACACAGGTGACACATGAGGATACACACAGGTGACACATGAGGATACACACGGGTGAAATGATGATACACACAGGTGACACATGAGGATACACACGGGTGACACATGAGGATACACACAGGTGACACATGAGGATACACACAGGTAACACATGAGGATACACACAGGTGACACATGAGGATACACACAGGTGACACATGAGGATACACACGGGTGACAAATGATGATACACACAGGTGACACATGAGGATACACACGAGTGACACATGAGGACACACACGGGTGACACATGAGGAATGATGATACACACAGGTGACACATGATGATACACACGGGTGACACATGAGGATACACACAGGTGACACATGATGATACACACGGGTGACACATGAGGATACACACACAGGTGACACATGAGGATACACACAGGTGACACATGATACACACGGGTGAAGACAACAGCAGGAACACCTCGGCAGACTACAAGAATGGTCTTGTACTACTCACTCACCTAGTTATGCTGGCGGGGGTTGAGCTTCGGCTCTTTGGTCCCGCCTCTCAACTTTAGCAGGAGTTTAGTATCACCATATGTAGAAATATAATCAGTGATACAAGATTAAGAATGTGGGACACAAGGTATCAAATGGTAGGGAAAGCCCCCCTTCGAACACCGGAAGATAGAGTAGATAAAGATACCTGGAGAGTAAATAAAGATACATGGAGTGTACATATAGATACCTGGAGAGTAGATATAGATACCTGATGAGTAGACATCGCACCGAACCAGCCTTCTGAGGCATACAGTAACGGAATAAAATCAGCGGAATATGCAAGGATGGAAAACATACAAGCTGTCCTGAAAACCTGGGGCCAGATTCACGAAAGTACTTACGCAAGCACTTACGAACCTGTACATCTTTTCTCAATGTTTGGCGGCTTTGTTTACAATTATTAAACAGTTAATGAGCTCCGAAGCACCTCCGAGGCTGTTTATAACAATAACAACAGTTGATTGGCAAGTTTTCATGCTTGTAAACTGTTTAATAAATGTAACCAAAGCCGTCAAAGATTGAGGAAAGATGTACACGTTCGTAAGTATTTGCGTAAGTGCTTTCGTGAATCTGGCCCCAGACCCCAAGTGCCATATGAGAGCTCTGTATACCCCAAATGTCAGACCGCTCCTTTAACACGCGCTGACAAATGAGCATCATATCTAACCAAACACAAATTGTAACTGGAGAAAATCCAAATGAACGCCATTCGTCAAGTCCCAGAATTGGCTCACTAAGACTGGCTGACTCACCGAACATCTTGTGTATCTTACAGGGTCGGCGTTCGATCCCCCGCTGATCCAGGGGGTTTGGGGGCACTGTTCCTTTATCCCAGCTCACCCTTACACCCTCTCAAGTGTATTATACAGCATAACTACACTGGCCTAGCTCCAGGTGAGATGTCCTTCGCTTCCTGGAGATCTGGCTTCCCGGCTTGGGACTCGACACGACCAGGGAGAGGGGGATCGAGACACAGGTGGAAACATTATACACCCACGCGTTAATTTTGCAATGAATGAAGTGCTGGTGTAAGCAGCTTGCATACACGGATTCAAAACTACATATGTCCGAACTTACGGGGGTTCGGGAACCTGTACACCATCAATTTAAGTTGACCAGGCCACACACTAGAAGGTGAAGGGACGACGACGTTTCGGTCCGTCCTGGACCATTCTCACGTCGATTGTCGACTTCAATCGACTTGAGAATGGTCCAGGACGACTTGAGAATGGTCCAGGACGACTTGAGAATGGTCCAGGACGGACCGAAACATCGTCGTCTCTTCACCTTCTAGTGTGTGGTCTGGTCAACATACTTTAGCCACGTTATTGTGACTCATCGCCTGCTCCATCAATTTAAGTTTTTCAGAAGCAGGACACAAGAGCTGGAGCTCAGCTCCCGCAAGCACAGGCAGGTGAGCACAACACACTGCAAGTGAGAGGATGTTTGGAGTTAAAACACATATCACCTTTCAAGTTATAACCTAAATGTCAATCATTATATGTCAAAATACAATGTACGTTTGATTTAGAGTGTTGTACACTTGTTTAAGCCAGCCATTTATTTTTTCGAATAGTAAAAGTTGTTAAGAATAAAAGTTTCTCGTTCTGAAAATATCTACCCAGTCTGCTCTTATTGTGAATTAAGTCATTAATGTACTACACTTTCTACGTAAACTTTACACCAGTTATAACCATTTTCCAGTACAACCATTTATAAAAACAAACTCCTATTGAAACCCAGCTCACCTTACCCAACCAGCAAGATTCAAATCCTTTGCCGAATAGGTTAGGCTAAGATAGGCTAGGATAAGTTAGGTTAAGATAGGTTAGGTTAAGTTAGGTTAGGTTGTGTTTCCTTAAAGAGTAATGATGATGTAGAAAGGCAAGGCTTTTCTTAGGCCTTACAGAGTCCCCTCCGCCCAACTCAGCCCAGGTAATACATCCCAATCTAACAATATATACGGTTTTAACAAACAGAAAACGGGCTTTGTATCGTCTCGCCGTGACTGCCGGCGCTCCATGTTCTCTCGATAGATGTCAACGATCTACCCGCTAAAAACAAGTTTCCTTTATCTCCATATTTATTCATGGCGGGAAACTGGTGAGCAGAATAAGGACAACTGAGGTCTGTCAGGTGATGCCCGTCTTGAGTACGCTACATAAAAGGTCCAACAGGTGGCTACTGGACATCAATAATAACAAATGTAGAGTAATAAAGGCAGGAAGAGGAGGAAGCAGGTCAGAACAGCAACACCAGCAGAGAGGGAAGATTTTGCTTCAACACGCGAGGAACAGAAAAAGGGGACAGAAAAAGGGGCGTAGGTGAAGGGGGGGTCACGTCTTCCCCTCTTACTAAGTCCCTCAATCATGGACGGTTTGTGCAACTCTGTCTGATATATTGAAATTGAAATTGAAATAAGTTTATTGATGTAAAATACACACAAAGGGATGAGGTAGCTCAAGCTATTCTCATCCCGTTCAGTACATCGTGTTAATACATACATAGACACACATCACAAACAATAAACATATTACCAAACATTCTGGTCTGATATATCAACTTGTGCACAGGTGTCAAGACATGAACAAGCGAACAGCCGTTCAATATATGAGCAGTTTCAAGACGGCTGACTATATTAATCATGAACACAAAAGATTACATCTGCAAGACCACCTCAAGAGGACCATTCACTATGGCAGTATCACGTCTGTTGTTATTGTTTAAGATTCGCTACTTGGAACAAAAAGTTCCAAGTAGCACGGGCTATGGTGAGCCCGTTGCATCAAGTCTTTAACAACAACACAAATCGAAAAAGTCAAGAAAATCTTTTCACGATTTTCCCAACCTAGAGTGTTGAGAGGGCTTGGTTTAGAGAAATGTGAGGGTAGTGACTGTGAGGAATAGAGTAGTGGCTAACTCCATAAAGAGGGGGGGGGGAGTGGA